TCTAGGAATGACTTCAATGGCGGATTTCGCTATTGAAGGACATGTTTGTGAATGCATGTTAGTCTATTCATATTTCCTAACAACATTTGCTAATTATGAGAAATGTATAACAGCAAATTAAGGGATAAATTTTTGTTGCAGGAATACCTGTTGAGACTGTCCGTCTCTTAAGTCCAATGTCCATTCATTCCACATCTTTTTAGCAACTCTGAAGAGGCGAGGCCGCATTTCTTTCATACAGGTTCCTCGAGGTTCTTCAAGTGATTTAATAGTAACAAAGAACTAATAGTTCAAATCTTTGCGTATCATTTTTAATTTGTAAATAACTGTTAGACTAAAAAGTTTTTCTAGTGCAGCATAACATTGTTCCGACTGGGAAAAGATGGCCAATTTTTTAAATATAAAATTGACTTAGAACTGCAAGAAAACAGCTCGAAAATATTTCCCTATCATCTCAAATTATTTGTTAAACTTTCCTTTTAAATAAAACCGTAGTATTGAGGCAAAAATTTAAACTGGAATATAATTTTAAGGACACCCCGAGTAAATCACGGACAGAAAAGCTTGTTTTCCTAGATGTAATTGGCGATGATGTTCCACGAGATTGCGCATAAAACGGTGTTAAACCAATTTAACTGTACTGAAACATTTGAAAAATCGCGAAAGATCTTCATTTACACGGTAATTTTTGAAGAATAACAGAGTCTCTTTTCTATACTTCCTTTTTTCTTTAAAAGGTTAGCCAAGTCATGTCGCATTACGTCGGCTATGAATCCTCAGAGCAATGATTCTATAAGGTTTCAGAAGGCCCGCCGCTGTTTTTTTTTTTTTTAGAAAATGTTGTTTGACCTTAAAACCTGGTAATCCCAAAACTCGGGTAAGAATTAAGTTGGGTGAGTTCCGATCACAGACATCGCCGTTCAGCCACTGAAATTGTACTTTCTTTCGTAAAAAATTGCCTCCATCTACTTCTAATTGAAAGTCTTGTAAGAGATGATGACAGAGGGACGCATACTAAAGGCATATGGAAGTGTGCCAGTCAATTCTTTCGTCTTTGAGCGAACGTTTTCCTGTCATACACCTTTTCCACATTCTCCGACAAACTCTCGTATTACGGCTTCTCGCCTTTTGTCTTCCTCTTCACTTCCTGTTCCCTTGAGAAAGAATACATGCTAGAATTAATTTTGAAAGAAAACCGTCGTCATGAGTAGCAAAAAATAAGTTCTATATTATGGCATTTTAATAGTGTTCCGCTTATAGCAATTAATTCGAGTTAATCTACCTGGTCGTCGTCGTTGTTTTTGGTGATCTTGGTCGTCGCCTTCGAGAGGGCGATCGCTCTGATTTTTCGAGGAGGCTGCAAAAACAAAGAAAGTGATAGTGTTAAGGCTACATCACGTGTTGTTAATTGAGTTTTCAAAAAACTTTTTTCGGTTCGTTAAAATATAACAGTTAACATACCTCGGTGTACGTTCGTTGCGAGACCTTGATGGTGGAGATGTCGAAGGTTCATACTGTTCACGAAAAGGCCTGCAAGAATTAATTATTTTCGAAAAAGCCCAATTTTAAGAATGGTGGTGCGGGTTCTAGCGCCTGGGCCAGTCCATTTTTAAGTTCCAAAACTGACAGTTTTATTGTACTTCTGATTTACAAAATTATCACACCTTATTGGACCGGGTGATCACCGAGTTCTAACAACGGACCTCAATGCTTGAACCTAAAGTCCGGCGGTTAGCCATGGCTAAGCACATGCAAGTTAGCGCAATAAAATAAGTCTCTCATAAACAATGATGGTTTAACCAATAACTCCCAGAAAAGACTGACGTGTAACTTCTCCCTATAACATCTATATGTTTTTCAGCAAAGGGTTCATGGGAATACTCAAAATTATCAGGTTGAAGTTGTCATCTTGATATTACACCAAAGTTTCGTAGCTAATTTACGAGGAATTGTGTAGCAGCTAGAGGGGAGAATTAACAATCAGATCTTGGAAATTAAAGGGCTAAGTGTGAATCACGATTCGAGCGGAATTTCGCGCAAAATAAGCGATTTCCATGACCAGTGCCAGGTAGCATAATAAAATATTTAACGAGCAGAGTTTATTCAAACCTCTAGCGTAACTGATCTCAAAACTACTAAAGGCCTAAATCGCTGCTAACAAGCGAGTCATACTGTGCGTTTGTTGCGTTTCATCATTTAACGAGGCATAATACATTGTTGTTCCATGAGATGCAAACAATTGGCCGAGTATTCTCAAGTTTAGCAAAGCGTTTTTCGAGTCTTCCAACTTCTTTTAAACTTTCGAATTCTACTACATTGAAATAGTTATTATTGACCGTAGTTCGTCATCAAAACCCCTGTCGTTCCTGTTTGCTCGTTGCAACCCCGAAAAAAAATTCAAAACTGTTTCATAATACACGAAAATCCTCAAACCTCAATGGTCTTGAACTCATGTATTTTTCTTTTTAGTCTTTCTTTCTTCGGTTCTTGGGCTCCTGAAGATGCATTTTCAGTAATTTTTGGTAAGTTTCGCTGGAGGTTATGTTAGTTCAAAATGGAACAAAGAATCAATTGAATCATTACAATGTTACACTTACCTTTCCTTCTCATCCTTTTGCTTTTTCTTGTGCTTCCCCATAGATTATGATTGAAGTATCGAGATTTAAGGAGAGAGAAAATCGAATAAACAAATCATATATCAATTGAAAAAGACACGGCAAATTTTCTGAAATACTGCGGCTTGTGTCCCTCCACGTGCTCTGAGTGACTGGTGCGGTTTTGACAGTTCCTGGCTTTCGTCTGGCTTCTAATTACAACTCTGCTTCCACGGCCATCAGAAGGAGAATATTACTTTTTGATACTCACACTATGATTTAAGGAAAATGGATATTTATTTTTGATTTTGGTCAATCGCGAATCAGAAGTGCCAGAAAGTTCGAAAGAGTCGAAAATGAAAAGAGTATTAAGTATTAAGTATTGAGGTCGATACCTCGACCCTGGGTGCCTGATAAAAGTAGCGCAGTTTCCGGTGTCAAAGCTTGCCGTGAGCCCCATTTGCTTAAAAAACCGGCGGGGAAAGCAGGCAAAAGCAAAGCATCCAAGTTGTCAATAGTTAGATTATTTCACAGAAATTTACAAATTCCTAGATTTATAGGAAAACTAAAGCGTATCTTTTACAAAGTCACCTTCCAACTGTTGTTATGACAACGAGTAAGGCAATATTCACAGGACATCATAGCGGCCATATCATTATTTAGAGGTGTTCCAAAACAATCAAATAGCGGCTATATTGATGTCCCAAGCAAATCCTGTGGGATTTGAACGCTTTAGTGATATAAACACTTTCTAAATTTGAGCACCGACTGACCACGTGAGTGAACTGCACTGTTCAGTGGTTGCATGGATGCGGGTGAAAGCCGTTAATACGATTTGAAATTGATTTTCAGCAAGTGGATTCTGGATTCCCTTTTTAGCGGGATCCTGGATTCAAAAAGCTGGATTCTGGATTCCAGAGCCCAGTGTTTCGGATTCCACAAGCAAAAATTTCCTGGAATCCGGAATCCGGATTACCTTACATGGGGTGATTTCTTCACTCTCTTTGTCAGATTTATTTTAGGCTTTCCTTTTCTCTTAAACAGGTTTCTGGGTGAACAGATGCATTGACTCTTCAAGTGTCATGGCAGCCATAAACCCAGGACTAATAATCTTTTTCACAGTGGAAGTCTATCGTGTCTCCTTCTTGTGATAATAATACCTTCTCGTTTCTCGTGACAGTTCCAGCTGAAGAACGGCGGGCAAGTCAGATTTATTTTTCAGATAACCAGGAGTCCAAGGAATCCTTGATTAAAGTGTTTCTTGTATCATGAAAGTTCTGTGATTGATTTATTCATAAACCGGCTGTCAAAACAACTAATTAATTCTTCCAAATTAATCATGTTCAAGAGTTTAATTTCCGACAATGTTTCGCCATATTGGCAGAGATAAACACTTTTTTGTGGGTTCTGTGTGTGGTATAAACCGAAAGAAATTTACCTCAGTGCCGGTGAAAGTGGTGGATATCAACCTCCACTTCCATGAACAATTTTCAATAAGCCAAGATAAGACAAGTTATAATATACGGGTGGAAGGGAATTAGGCCAGAAACGAAATCTGATATTGTTTTCCTTTCAGTCTGAACACCTGCAGTGTTAAAAAAACAAATAAAAAACAAAAACCAAAAATCAATTTGGAATGGCTGAAACGAGACTATTCATTAATCACAGGGGGAGAGTAGAGGGCTAAGAGAGTTATTTCTATCAGTGGCATTTGTTATCAAACAATAAACATAAACGAAAAAGAGAAGTGACGCAGGGGAAAATTTACGGTTCAACTTTATCTATTGAGGAATATGACAATAACTATTATATAACCAGCCAAAGGCTTTTGGTAAATGTACAAAGTCTTGAGGAGAGTCTAATGTTTAACAAACCTCATATCCATTTTGAAATCACTGATAATTCTTTTAATCTTATCGGCTCTCATCGGTGCTCCATTTTTTGCTAATAATCACATTTTTCCGGCCAACGAGACAACTTTACTAAAACACAAAAACTAATCGGATTTCAAGGCTTGTTTAAAGGAACCAATCATATTGCAGGAAAATGAAAGACTTTTTTTTTTTTAAATAAATTAAAACCAGCTCAATACTGGATAAATTGAAAATGTTAGTATAGACTTAAAAATCCTCTTTTTAGCGACTGAATCTTGCATTTCAACTTTACTAACAATAAAAACTTTACTAAAACGCAAAAAGTAATCGGATTTCAAGGCTTCTTTAAAGGAACCAATCATATTGCAGGAAAATGAAAGACTTTTTTTTTTTTTTTAATAAATTAAAACCAGTTTCTTGTGTTACCAAGTTCTGTGATTGGTTTATACACAAAACTTGTTGTCATAACAAATAATTAATTCCAAGAATAGCTAAAAAAAAAAGTCTCAAGGCATCAATGTTTCGAGTTCAATTCCGAGAAAAGCTGATTTGGTCGAGCGTGTGCTCAGTTCTTAGTGAAAAATACATGGATATCAAAACGTTGCTTCACAATCTTCGCGAGGAAGTTTCGTGCCCAGTGTGTACTAACGTCTACACAGATCCAAAGCACCTTCCATGTCTGCACACGTTTTGCCTGCAGTGTTTAAAACACTGGCACACAACAAGCCATGGCCGAGACACAATCAGATGCCCGAAGTGTCAAGCTATTAGTAGAGTGCCTGAAAGTGGCGATTTGAAAGATCTTCCCACCAGCTTTTATCTGAACGGCTTGATTGACGTGCTAGCAATTAAAGAGTGCAAAACCAGCCAAGTGCGATGTGGAAATTGTGACAAGAAAAGCGCCGAGAGTTCCTATTGTTTTCATTGTTGCGTGTTTTGGTGTGACGAGTGCATCATTGGACACAATATCATTCGCAGCAATAAAGATCATCGTGTTCTGGCGCTCAAAGACTTTCAAGACAAGGACTATGAAGATGTGATGAAACGACCTGCTTTCTGTCCTAAGGAAGATCATAACAAAGAACAGCTTAAGTATTTTTGCAAAGACTGTGAAATGCCACTTTGCCAAATTTGTGTCACATTGGATCATGGAGGTCATAATATGAAGTTAATCAAAGAAGAAGCGGAGACACAAAAGACTGAAATGAAGTCTTTTATTGAAAAACAGCGACACAATTTACGAGCAAAGATGAATGCCGTGAGCCGACTTGATGGAGAATGGGCCACACTGATACAACAAGGCGAAGATGTGAAGAGAGAGATTCAAACATTTGTTGACAATTTAATTGCAGTCATTGAAGCAAACAAGAAAAACATATTCGCAGACGTGGAAAAAGAAACAAACAAGTCGATTGAAAGCATAATAAGGCGAAAGACCGAGATCGAGCGTCAAATGACGGCCATAAAATCATCTCTGGAGAAGGCTGAGAAACTTTTCACCCGAAGTACAAACGCTGAAATCGTTCAACTGAAGAAATCATCAGACACCATCTTTGAAGGAGTTCATCAAATCGAGCCAACTGACTGTGACCCCGAACTTGTTGCTCATTTTGTCTTCGTGGAAAATTATAAGTTGTTCAACACTGTCAAAACCGAACAAATTGGAACTTTGAAAAAACCAACAAAAGCAAGTCATTGTGATATTGAAGGCAAAGGACTGGAGGAAGGAATTGCTCTCCGTGAAGCTCACTTTACCTTGACAACAAAGGACACCGAAGGAAGACAGTGTTACAATGAACGTGACCATGTAACGGTGGAGATCAGGGACGAACAAGGACGAGAATGCACGTCAGAAATACAAATAAATGACTGTAAAGATGGACTCTATCAAGTCAGTTATTGTCCCAGACATCCAGTAAAATGTCAAGTGACTGTAAAGGTAAACGGAGAACATGTCCGTGACAGTCCTTTTGCTGTGCAGGTAACACCATTTCAGTTTAAACCTGTACTTTCCTTCGGGAAAGAGGGCTCCTCTGAGGGAATGTTTATGTTTCCTTGGAGGGTAGCAGTAAATGCTAAGGATAAGATAGCTGTTACTGATTATGGCAACCACAGAGTCCAAATTTTTAACAGTGAAGGAAATTACTTAAGATTGCTCGGTCGGTCTGCTACCAAAGAGGGAGAATTTAATTTTCCTTTCGGAATAACATATCATAATAATGGGAACATTTTCGTGGCAGACAATGGGAACTGTAGAATCCAGATTTTCAAAGGGAAGGGTGAGTACGTGGGATCCTTTGGTGGGAGAGGAAGCCTTGATAGTCAGCTCATTAGTCCCTGTGGTTTATCGGTAGACAGTGATGGGAATATCATTGTCGCTGATTCAGGTAACAGGCTGATTAAGATATTTTCTCCTGATGGCAATTTTCTAACGAAGATAGGAGAGCAGGGCTCTTTGACTGATCCTGTCCAGTGTATTCAATATGAAAGATATCTCATAGTGTCAGACTATCGTGAACACTGTATCAAAGTTTTTGACAAGAAAGGAAACTTTCAGTACAAGTTTGGAAAGAAGGGTGGAGGGGACGGGGAGTTAAATAGTCCCAATGGTTTGTTGGTGAACAAATCAGGTCACTTGATGGTCTGTGACGAAAATAACCACAGAATACAAGTATTTGAGCTGAATGGAAAGTTTCTCGGCAAGTTTGGAATAAAGGGTGGCAATTTAGGAGAGTTCAATAATCCAGGCTCTTTAGCAGTTCTCAGCAATGGCCAAATTGTTGTTTGTGACACTTTGAACCATCGTATACAGATACTGGAATAACTTGTTCACATTATTTTGTACTATTGCGCCCAATCAAAATCAATTAATTAATTTTGAGTTCAACCATCGAATGTAAAACATTGGAGATTCTACTTATTCTCTGAATGACCTTCTTTGTTATTCTAAACCTTAACAACAGTAATTATTCAGAGAGTAACTAGGTTTAGCCAAGATAAGACTAGTTATGAATTACTGGGATGGAAGTGGGCTTAAAATATTAAAATTCGTTTTCTTTTACACCAGAACATCTGCAGTAATTTAAAGACAAATAAAGGACTTGTCTTAGGGACAAGATTATATATTAATAACAAGGCGAGGGCAGTGGTCCGGAAACATTCATTCAGTCTGTAGCATATATAATCGAACAGCTAGGAGGGGAGTTTAACATATACATTTTAAGTGTAACTGATATTACACAGTTCCCTGTATAAGATCATGCTGTTTTAGAAGTAACTTTTAGGAAGAGTTAAGACCACTTTTTGTGCTCCGTTTTTGTTCGTAACTCACTTCGCTGGGAAGAAAAAATTAAAGTAATGCAGGAGACAGTTTTCATTACTGCTTTGTCTTAAGCTAAGGGGAATATGTCTTTAACTTTTATGTACGAAGACAAAGGCTTTTATGTAAATCATCAGCGAGGTCTGCAAATTTCAGTAGTAGAAAACATAATACAGTAATCAGAGTGTGTTTATCTGTTTTGTAAGAGTTGTCTTTTTTGGAAATTCCAATATTGTAGTGAATAGATTTACAACCTTGCTAATTGTAAGATGTTCCACTAATTTTTCATGAGATAAGTTTTTACCCTAGTATAGATTACCTAGTTGATAGAGGAAAAATTCAACGAAACTTATTTCGACTCGCAATTGAGAACTTTCAATAAGTTATTGTATACGATTCACTGATCTATCTGTGTATAGTGTCATAAGACTTAATGTATCATCGTTTTGAGTGTTGATGTATCATTAAAGACGTTATGATTTGAATTTAAGATGATTGTCATCAATTTAAGGTTAATGTCAACAAAATGGGGTACCTTCCGGAAAAATCGTCCACAGCGCACATCTATAGAAGAAACTACGGAAAGCTATATAACACTGTAAGCTTATAATATACAGTTTCTGAGCATAACTTCATTTTTTCCAAGTTTTTATTTTTTTAAGGCGCGCGCGGGCCTAAAAAAATTTTTAAAAAAATCACAAAACGGTATTTGCTTTACTGAATTACCAGCCTTCGCGTTACTGCCTTCTTCCAAACAAACTGGACGGTTTTCAGCTTATGATAGGCTAACAAATGGTTTGAGGCTTTTTAGTTGTTCCTAGCATTTCCTGAGAAAATCTAGTCTGAAGTTAGAAAATAGAAAATATTTTGGTTGTTGTCACGCTCCGAGACGTCACGAGAGAAATATTTCGAATTTCGTAAAAGCCTCATACCCGTAAGTGCGTCAAAATCTGAGGAACATTCTGGCCAATTTTCATGAGCATGGTTGAAAATTTTCACCCTACAAATTATTTAAGAAGAGGTCACTCTTTAAAAAAAAAAAAAAAAAAAAACCTCGAGTTTTTGGCCTTAAAGAAATCGACAGTTTCCGCTCCTCATTTAAGCCCATGTCATGCGGTCGTGTTGCCGATCAATAAAACGTAATATATAACTCCCTGCTAAGTCTCATGAAAAAGAACTCCTTTCAAATTCGCCTATTTTGTAAAGGGTATTTTTGCGCGTGCTGTTATATATTTTTAAAAACCGTAGCACAAGAAAATCTACAATCAATAAAGCGCAAAAGAAGCGTTTCTAGGATGATGCCGACTCCGACTCCACAAAATGCTTCTTTGTCATATGTTTATTCGTGAAGATCCTACCTTTTATAAACTCGACCATAGTGAACTGATCGAATGAGTCTATTGCTCAATCGAATCGAAAATACTTTCCACTCCAAACTCTTAACTCGCAAATCAACTGACCTACACGTGTCAGAATGATCTCACATACATATAGACGGGTGATTTGAACATAATACAAAACCGGTAAATCAAGTTAAAATCAATAATATGCTATACAAACAAAACCTATCAACTAGTGACAAATTGATATGCAACGTGACTGTTCGTGACACAATTCTACACTTCCTTTTTAGAAGCCACATAATAAAGGGGAATGAAAAATCCCAGCTTTATAGTACTGCACTAAAAAATTAGTCTTCGTATACAATAAAAGCCAAGTTCAGTGTCAGCAGATTTCTCTTTGTGAAAGACAAGAATAAAAGTCTGGAAGAAGGACAAGTTATCTTTTTTTCCTCTCTTTGTAAGATTTATTTTAAGCTTTCCTTTAACAAATTGCTTGGTTTACGGCTACGAAGTCTCTTCAAGAGTCATCCCAACCATAAACCCAGGGCTTCTCTTCTCTTTCGTAGAATTCGTGAAGTTAAAAGTCCACGGTTATCTCTTCTAAGTGATCTTTAAAAATTTCTTCAAGTTTTTCGTGACATGTACCAGTCGAATAAAGAATGGTGAGCGGGTCAGTTTTACATCCCTGAGAACTAGGAATACAAGGAATCGTTCTATAGGTGCCAGCTCATATTCAGTCTCAAATTTCCCTCTTGCGTCAAAACATGAATAAACGTCTGTAACGGGGTCAAGTCATCTTTCTTCACTCTCTTTGTCAGATTTATTTTAGGCTTTCCTTTTCTCTTAAACAGGTTTCTGGGTTTACAGATGCATTGACTCTTCAAGTGTCATTGCAGTCATAAACCCAGGACTAATAATCTTTTTCACAGTGGAAGTCTATCGTGTCTCCTTCTTGTGATAATAATACCTTCTCGTTTCTCGTGACAGGCGGGCCAGTCAGTTTTATTTTTCAGATAACCAGGAATCCAAGGAATCCTTGATTAAAGTGTTTCTTGTATCATGAAAGTTCTGTGATTGCTTTATTCACAAACCGGCTGTCAAAACAACTAATTAATTCTTCCAAATTAATCATGTTCAAGAGTTTAATTTCCGACAATGTTTCGCTATATTGACAGATATAAACACTTTTTTGTGGGTTCTGTGTGTGGTATAAACCAAACGAAATTCACCTCAGTGCTGGTGAAAGTGGTGGATATCAACCTCCACTTCGATGAACAATTTTCAATGAGCCAAGATAAGACTAGTTATAATTTATGGGTGGAAGGGAATTAGGCCAGAAACGAAATCTGATATTGTTTTCCTTTCAGTCTGAACACCTGCAGTGTTAAAAAAACAAACAAAAAACAAAAACCAAAAATCAATTTGGAATGACCGAAACGAGACTATTCATTAATCACAGGGGGAGGTAGAGGGCTAAGAAAGTTATTTCTATCAGTGGCATTTGTTCTCAAACAATTAACATAAACGAAAAAGAAAAGTGACGCGGGGGAAAATTTACGGTTCAACTTTATCTATTGAGGAATACGTCAATAACTATTTTATAACCAGCCAAAGGCTTTTGGTGAATGTACAAAGTCTTGAGGAGAGTCTAATGTTTAATAAACCTCATATCCATTTTGAAATCACTGGTGACACTTTTAATCTTATTGGCTCTCACTGGTGCAAGTTATACACGAATTGCACCATTTTATGCTCTAAATAGCACTTTTTTCCCAGCTAATGAGACAGCTTTACTAAAACATAACAACCAATCAGATTTCAAGGCTTGTTTAAAGGAACCAATCACATTGCAGGAAAATGAAAGACTTTGTTTATTTATAAATTAAAACCAGCTCAATACCGGATCAATAAAATACTAGTCCAGACTTAAAAATCCTGTATTTTAGCAACTGAATTTTGCGATTTCAAAATGGATGCAATAAATTAATAATTGAACTTGATTTTGTGCAATTTTGGTCTGAAATCATACTTTTGACTTCAAATCAAACTCGTTCTGTGCATTCGTTTTGAAATCACGCGCATCACTTCAGACCAAATTGCACTCCACTCAGTTCAATTACCTTTATCAATCAGACTATATTAATCAGTTTTGTAGTAATGTAATTCTCTTTCTATTCTTTTCCAACTGTATAGTATTTAAATTAGAAAAACGTGTTCCTGTAGTTTTCATACCAGAATTTTGCACCACAGCCTGGGCGCGCGGCCTACTTGACTGAGGTCGAATCCTCCTTAAAGTAGGCTGTTGTACATGAAAGAGTCAATATCACAAGACTTCATGTTTTATTTTCTTTTCTTGCAACTTTTGTGTTATTAAAGCAGCTATGAGTTGTCAGAGCTGACTCAATTATTTGACTTTGATTTAAGATAATGATTAATAATCAATGAAAGATGAGCTTTTCACCATCAGTTACCTTGAAGAGAAAAGTTTGGAATATTTGATGTATCTTGGAAAATGAATAAATGAAGTCTAACTTCAAAACAAGAGTTTTGCTAGAGTTTGCACACCACGTGCTTGAAAGTTCTAATTTCTGATTAAACTGTGCTAAAAACAAGGCTACTTTTCATTTCTAGCAAGGGGAGGGCGACACCTCGTTTGAAATAAGAGCTTTCACTGTGTATGAGAGGGCGGGTACTCGACAAGTTGAATTATGAGAGAGATTTTGTTGCCGCATTTCAATATGGGGTATTAACCTGGGTACGACTACTGACCTATAAGACGTTTTCATTCAAGAGTTGAGCAGGTATGTAAATTTATCGGAGCAAAAGAAACTGTAGACACAAGAGAAGAGTTCAAACACTTGAACATCAATATGGCCACCAGTTCACTGTTTCGCAAAGCGATATGGCCGTTTTGACGTCATGTTGGTAATGATAGTTAACAGTACGTAGCATTTATCAGGGCAGAAAAGGAATGCAGTTTATGACATGGAAGGGATGTTATTTTGTGGATAAAGGATCTCCCTGCAGAGCATATTTTACCCAACATCTTCCCTTCTGTAATTAAAAGTCATTATATTGCCGCTGTCAACTCAGGGCTTCTCCTCTCTTTCGCAGATGAAGTCCACAAATTTCTTCACTTATTATCAAGTTTTTTGTAACATGTTCCAGCCGGACAAAAAACAGCATGCGAGTCATACAAATTTCCTTTAGAACGTTTTCACCCTTTCAAAGGGGAATATTAGTAGCATTTTATTGTGAATAAGCAGTCGGCTCTTTGTACGAAACCTCCAGTGGTGAAACAAATTATCGTTAAATTATCAAAAAATGATCTTAAAAGTTAAAAAACATTGACATGATTGGAAAATATGTATTGAGTGAGAGAAAAAAAATGGAAAACGA